CTCTCTCTCTCTCTCTCTCTCTCTCTCTGCTCACTCCCTGGGAAACATTGCAGCTGACAAGATACATGGAGCTGCGCTAGTGCCCTGAGCTGGAGAAGCCATGTAGAGAGCCCCGCCAGTGCTGAGAAGCTTACAACGCCACTGGGTCCACAAGACTTCCCACCCACTGGCCTGTGATCTTCCTGTATTTGGCGTCATTACATGTGTTTCATGAGTCTAAAGAGGGCTTTATAAATTAGTATTGGGCATATGGGCTAATATTGGACTTATGGACTGGGTGGGGATGTTTTCTTAATGTACAATTACTCTTTATATAAAGCTCTTTCTTATATGCATATGAGTGTCTATGGATTTGCTTCTCCAGTCTACCCAGACTAACACATTGCTTACACTTCAGTTTTTCAGCCTACAGTGAATGGGGGCCAAGCAAGGCATTTTAGGGACATCCAGGATGCCCAGAGAAGCATTCTGCATCTCTCTCTCTCTCTCTCTCTTTCTCTCTCCCCTCTCTCTCTCTTTCTCACTCGCTGGTCATCAAGTCAATGCTGACCCTATAGGACACAGTAGAACAACCCATGAGTTTCCAAGACTGTGACTCTTTGAGATGAGAGTCAAAACCCCGTCTTTCTCCCGCAGAACGGCTGGTGGTTTTGAACTGCTGACCTTATGGATCGCAGTTCAATGCCTCATCACTCCACCAGCAGGGCTCCCTGCAGAGTGCAAAACACACCACTGGTGAGAGCTGAGATAAAGCACGAGGCGGGGCTTCCCTTTCCTCAGAGCCCTTGATCCAGCCTGAGTGTGAGGATGTGGCCAAAGAGTGAAAGCAAGGATTGGTTCTTGCCGAGACACTGAGCACCTGCAGGGGTGCCAGCTCAGAGGCCACCACACTGACTGGGACCAAGAGACCGGATGCTTAACCTGCCTTGGTGCCATGCTGTGTGGCCACAGGCCACTAACTATTGTCTCTAAATCTCATTTGCTATAGCACCGATTTCACTTTTCTAAATGCACTGACATGTAGTGCATGTTTCCTTTACAGGACACCTCTATGAGGGTGGCTATCGAGCGGACGGGTGGCTGTAATTCACTGTCCACTCTGGGGGCACTTTGGTCTCATTTCATCTGATACTGTTGAGATGCAAAATTAAAAAGCTCATTTACAGAGTCCATTCTGACTCACTGCGCCCCGATACAGGGTTTCTGAGGCTGTAAATCATTACAGGAACAAACAGCCTCATCTTTCTCCCTTAGAGCACCTGGTGGTTTTGAACTGCCGACCTTGTGGTTAGCAGCCCAGCATTTTACCCGACAGCCCCACCAGGTGAGGTGCACTCTTCATAATTACGCTGGGTTTAAACTGAAACTTGGCAAATAGAACCTTTAACCACCTTCCAAAATTCAACGCCATTCCAGGATAGGGTAGATCTGCCCCTGGGGGTTTCCAAGACTATAACATCTTTCTCCCAGTGACCACCTTAGACTCTGACAAGTGACCTTGCCACCTTGGAACACTGTGGCAGAGACAGTCCCATGGGCTACCCAGGATGACAGGGTAGCATCAGCCCCTGCCCCCACACCCCCAATCCCGACTGCACTGGGCTCCCTCCCCACAGGCTCCTTACCATCAAGCTCCAGGGTCTTCCTCTCCACCTCCTTCTTGTACTCCTCCAGCTCCTGGTCGGTGAGCTGGCTGAAGGGGTTGGGCACCGTCTCCTCGGAGTCGTCTTTGGTATCTGCATCACCCTTGGACATCAGCTGGCTGTCTGTAGACTGAAAGTTAACCAGAATGCGTGTCGCTCTGGGAACGCCGCCGCCCAGCATCCTGACTCAGGTGGCTGCCAGCAGTTTTGCTAGGGACAGCGTGGCCTGCAGTTCCTTGGAAACAGATCAGGGCCTTGGGGGTGTGCCTCCCCAGAGCTACCTCACCCGGAGACCCGGATTCTTTGCAACAGCCTGGGTGGATGCGGGGGTACACCCTCTGCCCCCTGAAATAAAACCAAAGTATGCTCCCAAGCAGAACGAAGATGCACCTTTATTACAATCCCTCCTGTGGACACGTCCAAGTCATTCATCAACTATGTAAATACAGTTCAGTGGCCCCAAAGTCATCAGCCAAAGCCCAGCAAGCACGCAAGCATCATGCTGGCCACGCCCATTGCTCCGCCCCCACCACTGCCCCACCCCCAACAGCACTGCAGGCTGCGCAACACACAGCATTAGCCTATGAACACGCGGAGGTGGCAGCAGCAACAGCAGCAGCGGCGTGGTCAGTGCAAACTGTGGGTCCTTGGTCATAGGAGGTCATGAACTGGGACCATCAACCTGCGGGAACACTGACAACATGCCTTTCCATGACTTTTCCACCGCCTTTGGGGAAAGGTGGGTTCAGGCGGTTTACAAACTTCGGGGTTGGGGGGGGGGGGCGCGATGTCTGCCTGAGGATTGCTCCGGACAGAGATGAACCTTCGGACTCCAGGGCCCTCCCTCCTCATTCAGCATCTTGAGCCTAGCCTTTGAAAATCCACTGCTCTGAGGCTCAGGAAGAGTATTCGGAAATGGCGCTGGGGAGAGAGAGTAGGCCTAGCTAGTCTCTCCCTGTAGTCTGAGCAGCTAGCTGGCACCCACTGAGCCCTGCAGGCCTCCTGCTGAGGGGTCCTGGCTTCTTAACGAATCAGCTGCACACACTTCAAAGGGAGACTCCAGTTAGACTCCGTGGTCTAACCGGTCAAGTGTTCTGTAGAGTGTTCAGCACGTCTGTGCACCGTGTTGAACTCTCCCCTCCCCAGTATCCCAGGCTCTGTTGACCCTTGACCCTGTTGCACAGGCAGCGTTGCCCATCTTGGGTGGAGGTGAGTTCAATGATATAGTCTCCACACTTCTGCTAAGGGGCACCCACCTTGCAGGCGGCAGCCTGATCTCAGGAACGTCCCCCTTTCTCACTGCTAAGGAAAACCCCAGGCCGGCTGCCGGGAGCAGCAGAAATCTCAAAAACAGGGTTCGGATTGGCACGCCTTTTGCCAAGCACCAAACAAACATGAACACAGTGGCTTTCTACTTCCTAACTCTATGTGGGTTTGCGTGGGCAACCACGGTGGCATGTCGGTCCGTATGTGCACATCTGACCCAGGACTGCACAGGCACTTCCTCAGAGTTGTGGCCCGATGCCCTTTTCACCCACAAAATCAGAAACATACAGTACCGGGGCACGCCGGGTGCACCCACCCCAGGATTCTCCCTTCGGCAGAATACTAATATTGGGTGAAGCAGAGTTCCGGGGGCAAGGGGGTATAGAGGCTGGCACCACTCCATGGGTAGCCTGCCCTGCTGCTCTCCCTGCCTAGTGCCCCCAAGGGGACAACTGGATGCTGTCCCTGGTCCTCAAAACACTCCAGTGAGGTGGACCTCAGTTTTGCAGCAATAGCACCGAGGGGGATCTCGGGGCATGAGGACTCAGGGGTCCTGCTGCCCAGCCCCAAGCACTGCAGACCCGGAGGGCGAGCGTGTGTCCCCTCCAGGCAGGGGCCTCTGCTGTACCGGGCTCCGGCTCTTCTCCGAGATGACGCTTGCCAGGAGCTGGGACTGAGGGCCTGCTGACTTCACATCCTGTCGGTTTTGCTCTCGAATCTGTGTGGAGAGGATAAGGAAAGGGGGGTGGGGGTGGCGGTTAGGGCTCAACATGTGGATTTAGGGATGGGGTGTGTCCACTGTGGCCTGGGAAGGTCCCCCAGTGGTGGAGCTGGTCCCTCTTTTTTTTCCTTCACATATCAATTTAGCAGTTCCACCAAATTAAGAATGGTGCAAACATCACCACAATCAATCTCAGCACATTTTCTTCTTTGTACTCAGTGTTGCTAGCTCCTCATTTCCCCCCAGCACCCCTGTCATGCCCGTGGGTAATTAATCCAGTCACTTTCTGTAGAAGGAGCCCTGGCGGCATAGTGGTTATGCGTTGAACTGCTAACTTCAAGGTCAGAAGTTGAACCACCAGCTGCTCTGAGGGAGAAAGACGGGGCTGTCTACTCCCATAGAGTGACCGTCTCAGAAACTCACAAGGCAGTTCTATCCTGTCCTAGAGGGTCGCTGTGAGTGAGCATCAACTCAATGGTAGTGAGTTTTTGAGAGAGAGCTCTTTCTATATATCTTTAATTTTATTATTTGGAAATTACATGACATATTATTATATGTTTATTACACCAAATTACTATTTGATCATCAAGGCAAACTAAGCCCTTTGGGAGAAACTTGAGCATCTCTGGGAACCCTGGTGGTGTAGTGGTAATGTGCTGGGCTGCGATCCATAAGGTCAGAAGTTTGAACCACCAGTCTCTACTCTGGAGAAAGACAGGGCTTTCAACGGTCGAACAGAGCTACAGTCTTGGGAGCCCACACAGGCAGGTCTCCCCTGCCCTACAGGATCGCTCTGGGTTGGTGTCGACTCAAGAGCAGTGAGTGAGTCTCTATCCATTTACCTAGCCTGTATTTCAGTGAGTCTGCTCTCAATGGTCTCCGTGTCTGCTTCCAAGTGAATGCATCCAGAAGGCACTCCAAACTCACGGTCGTCACATCAATTCCAACGTCGGGCAAGCCCTTAGAACCAAGGAGAACTGCCCATGTAGGCTTCCAAAGCTTCCAATCGTGAGGAGAGTTGAAAGCCTCATCTTTCTCCTGTGGAGTGGCTGGTGGTTTTGAACTGCTGACCTTGCACTTAGCTGCCCAACGAGTAACCTGTTTAAAACACTCGGCTTCCACAAACTGAGTAGGTTTGGTGAAGCTGCCAAGTGAAGCTAGGCAGATTACATCCTTGATGGAGTAGCTCTCCAGTTTCTACGTGCCTAAGAAGTTCCTGAGGAATTTGTTTAAACACAGATTTCTGGGGCCACCCTTCAACTACTGAATCTCAATCCCTGGAGGATGTGGCCCCAGCATCGGCATCGTAAATACACGTGGGCCGAGGTTCTAGGACCGCACATTGAAAACACTGTTCTCTGAGCTTATTGAGCCTTTCGGTGCTGCTCTGCTACCACTCAAGTTTTTAAAGTCATAGTAGGAACATAGTGTGGAAATGATAAGGCAAAGTCTGGAAATAAACAGAAAGGGCTTTTGAATTCTTGAAACTAAGCCAAAAGGAAAACAGCACCAAATTAATAGAAATTCCCTTTGCAGGTAGGCCTTTGGGGCACGTCACTTGTACAGCAATCAGCTGTGGGGCGGGGGATTGGGGTAAGAGGCCAGCCAGAGCCCTGGGGCTGGAAGAAGTCAGTTGGTAGTGGTTTCTTTCCTAAAGAGAGTAAGACCGGCTGAGCTCCTGTCTGCAGCATGTGAGACACTCCCCCGTCCCACCCCCCTGCCATGAGACGGTGAGAGCAGGGCCCACTCACCTTGTTCCGCATGTCCAGCACTTCTTGGGGGTCGGTATAGAGAGGCACAAACTGGTTTGGGTTTTCGATCCGTATGGGCACCCCGCTGCTGGATTTCTCCACTTCATCAGCCTTCATCCACTGAGCAAACACAAGGGCAGCCAGGTTAGGAGCCAGGCCCGTGAGCTCCCCTGGGCTCAGCCCAGGAGCCCTGGGCCTGCCCAACTGACTAGAAAGGTCAGGCGCTTACATAGAGGTGTCCTCTCCTCTTGGGCCTCTTTGACGTCTGACTCCCAGAGCAGAAACGGGCCATCAAGTACACACAAGAATAAGGCCCTCCACGGTCAGCCAGGAAGAGCACTAGAGCATGGTGGGTGGGTGGGTGAGTGAGTGAGTGAATGAGTGAGTGAGTGAGTGAGTGAGTGAGTGAGTGAGAGTGTGTGTGTGTGCCTTGGGGAAGCTTTGATACACAGGCACACAGGCAGTCTTCGGGATGCGATACTGATTTGCATTCACAGGGCTTTGGTTTTTTTAGAAAGAGCCGTTCTATACCGGCTGCTCGCTACCCAGGTGTGACTGAGCCCTTTCTGACTCAGGGCGACCCACTCTGCATCAAGGACTGCTCCAGGGGGATTCAGTGGCTGGCTTTTGGGAAGTAGATCGCCAGGCCTTTCTTCCCAGGCACCTCTGGGTGCATTCAAACCTCTGACTTTTCCATGAACTGTTGGGACCACTCCAGCTGCCATGGACTTTTATGTCCATGAAAACTTCTCCTGCGTGTCAGTGTGCATGTAAGAGAGTGACGGGGAGGGAGGGGGAATAAGGAAGAAAGAGCAATGGAGGGAGGGAGAAAATTCAAACGTAATAGAAGGGAATCGCCTGCCATCTCCTGGGTGTATACTCTACGAACGCCCTGGGACTTCTTGGAAGCCATCTCTGGGCATGGGAACAAGAAGCACATGCCAAGTATTCCTGGGGTTTCTATGGCTGGAGGACAGCTGGTGCAGCCCCTCCTCGGAGAACCCTGCTCCTCAGACCCAAGAGCTCAGCGCAGAGGAGCAAGACAGGTGGCCCAAGACACTGCGGGCATGAACAGCAAGAAGCTCTAAGAGGGAACCCAGACCCCGGGGAGGCCGGCTCTGCTCTCCTTTGGAAGCTGAATAACTTCCCCACCCACAACCCCCAACATCCGTCCTGGGCTCCCTGGCCCTGGCCTCCGCTCCTTACGGTGGTCTTGGGCCGGGGGCTGCCCATGCTCCTCTGGACCTCGTCGGCCACGTTGACCCGCAGGTAGGTGTTGGGGGTGTTGAGCCAGCGGGTCTTCTCCTTCTGCTGTTTGTGGGCGTGCTGCCGCAGGGCGGGCACCGGTGTGCCGTCCTCTTCAAACACGAACGCGGTCACTGTGGCTGGGATCTCCACCTCGCTCTTGTGTTTGGTTTTCTCTTGCACGAAGGGGTGGCGGTACGTGTAACCCGTCCTGTAACCCTGAGGGGGACACAGAAGCTCTGATGGTGGCATGCATGTGCATGCGCGCGTGCACACACACACACACACACACACACACACACACACACACACACTCACTCCTTTCTTTTAATGTCTTCAATGTAAAGTGTAGTTTCCTGAACACAACCGAGCAGGGCCTGGCAGCACTTCTGGGCGGTTTCACAATGGTCCCTTCCCCTGGACGTGTGTCGAATTCCTGTGATCCTGCTCGGAAAGGGGGTTCTCCTTCATTATGTTAATGAGCTCATGCCAGCACAGGTGGGCTCTTTCTGGGTGATCGAAGGAGCAGAACTTGATGGAGACCCACGGGGAAGAGAGGTGAGTTCCCAGTTCTATTTCCCCTCCTCTGTGGGGAATATTGCCTAGCTTTACATTTAGATACATTTTGCATACTACATAATACGTATCATAGATATACATTTTGCATGCAATATATGAGGAGGTCACCAAAAAATTGAATGTCTTTTCAGTTATGTATTTAAATATTTTTTTTAACCAAACAGCCTTATCATCTTCAAAAGTACTCTCCATTACACTTACTACATTGTCAAATCCACGATTCCATTCTTGGAAACCTTTTCAAACTCATCTGTTTGGATGGCTGGCAGCACCTCCTCATTTTTATCTTACCCGCTTATATGTTGTCAAATAACTGTCCTTTCAGGTCCCTCTTCATTCTTGGAAACAAAAACAAGTCACTTGGAGTGAGGTCAGGTGAGTAAGATGCATGGGGCAAGAGAGGCATGATGTTTTTTTGCCAAAAACTGGTGCACTTAGATGGCTGTGTGAGCAGGTGCATTGTCATGGTGGCAAAACCAGTCCCCCAACTGCCACAAATCAGACCTTTTTCATCACTTACTGTTATGCAATCGTTTCAGAAACTCTAAATAGAAAGCTTGATTATCAGTCTGACCTGGTAGAATGAACTCCAGATGCACTACAAGTTGATATTTTCATCCATACAGGAAGTTAACAGATGTCCAGAATGAGGTTTGTCATCAATCAACATTTCACCTTTTTGAAACAAGAAAACCACTTGTACACTTGAGTTTTTCCCACAGCGCTGTCCTTGTAAGTCATGTTCAACGTCACAACAGTTTCTGCAGCACTTTTCCTGAGCAGGAAATAAAATTTCACAGCTGCACGCTGTTCTCTTAAATCAGCCATCACAAAAACAAGGTTTGAGCAAAACTGCTTTTATGAAAAAATTCACTGTGTCCAGAGAGAACCTTCCCAGGCAACGCCACTGGGTGCACTAACTCAGAGAGAGTTGCTCGATGCTAACCTCATGGGGAAAATGCATCCTATGAAAGCTCTGCTTTGCCCAGTACAGTGGTTTTTTTGGTACCCCCTCATAGTATGACATAGATAGTATCATAGATATATATTTTGCAATCAGAGGTGTTCATAGTAAAATGATTTATTTTTTGCTCTTTTTACAAATAGTTAAACTCGGCATTTTAAATTCTATTTAATGGCCGCTTGAATCTCTTGCTTTGCAAATTGTCCATTTATGCTCTTGGCCTATTTTTCTACTGAGGTGTTTGAACTTGTCACACTGATTTGTAATATCTTTGTACATTAGGGGTATTACTCTTTTGACTGACATAGATGCTGTAAAGCGCTTCCCGATGCTTTACCGCTTCTACTCATTATATCCCTGTTAACCTTATTTATGGTGGGGAGAGTGGTTTATAGATATGCAAATTTTATGATAGGTTAATTATATGCCAATAAAACTGTTGAAAATTTTTTAATGTAAATCTTGAACTTTTTAATGTCATCAGTTTTTCAATATTTGTCACGCCAATTGCAGGCTTTCCTGCCATGCTTGTCAAGGTCTTCCCTAACACAAAATTATCAAGAGTACTGACTGATGTTTGTGTAGACCGATATGACTTTACTTTTCTGTTTACATTTTTGACAAATCGGAAATATATCTCACTGGAAGGAATGAGGTAACAATCCAGCTGTGTTAGCCATTTCCCCAGTGGCTAGTAGCCCACATTGTTCCACAGCTTACTCCACCTCATATGCTAAATTCTCGGGTATTCTCTCCCTGTCTTTGCGTGCTGGTTTTGGAGTTACTGCTGGGCATGTCCAACCCCTCAATAACTTAGCAGCCCAGCACCAATGGTTTCAAACACCTAGAGAACTTCCTCTTAATTTAAGCAGTGCTTTTGAAAAAACAAAACTTTTTATTGTGAATGAGGTTGAAGGTTTACACAGCAGACCCTAGTTTTACATTCAACAATTTGGACAGATTCTGTTGCAGCGTGTGCACTGCAATCCCTCAACGCACTATCGCTTATTCCACCTCCTGCAAATGTTCCCCCCTCTGTGCTAACCTCTGCACGCTCTCCTTGGGCGAGTGCCCCCTTTGGATTGTAACGGTCTTATTCTAAATGCGGAGGTGGATCCCATTCTAAACCTGAAGAGTGGGGGCCATCGTCTTGGGTCCGGTCAGACTCTCGAATATTCTGAGTCTATTTCTGGATTCCTAAAGTGTTGTTGTGACTTGCCAGTTGTGCTCCCGAGGGCTATCCTGTCTAATGCTGACAAGCTTCCTGACGTTTTACCGTGTGGGGAACAAGTGTCCCTATTCACTCTCTTTGTCTATAAGGTTTCCTAAGCATTCAGAGTTTCCTCCGGAAGAATGTGCTAAGTCTTCATACTCATCCCCATTTTTGAGGGAATATCACACTGAGCTTGTTGATTCATCAGGAATGGCAGTGGACAGAATACCCTGTTGAGGCTTTACAAAGCAAGAATATGGTGCAGGAAAAAAATTTTTTTTCTTGCTGTTTCTTGGTAAATGTTTATGGTTTTTTTAGATGGATTCTGCTTCCTTTATGATTTCACCTTCTTGGAAAATGAGATGACTCTTTCCCATGATTGTATTTTCAAAGCGGGCAGCATGAAGGCATAAGAAAGCTAGTGACTTTTGTATCTATTTTAATAATTTGCCACCCGGCCGTTCTAAAATGCATTCATTTCTACTACTTAATTATTTCTAATATTGTTTCAGTTGCCTTGTCTGGACTCCACAGACACGTAACCATGTGGTTGTGGTGAGGGGCTGTCGAATAAATTCTGACTCAGGGAACCACTGCCTGGCGCTGCGCCACCCTCACCAGGGTTCTGACGTTTGAGCCCATTGTGCAGCCGCTGTGTCAGTCCACCTCAGTGGGGGCCTTCCTCTTTTCACCGTCCTTCTACTTGGCCAAGCTTGATGTCCTTCTCCAGGGTTGTTCTCTCCTGAGAACATGTCCACTGTCCGTGAGACAAAGGGTCACCATCCTTGCCCTTCGAAGCATTCTGGCTGTACTTCTTCCAAGATAAACGTGTTGGTTCTTTTGGCAGCCCATGTGCTTTCGGTACTTTCCATATTACATCTAAAGAATAAAACTTTCATCTCCTTTCCAATACTTGTTTGAGAACTTAAACAGTTCTTGAGACGTTGACACTGACCCATGATGACCTCAGGATGGAAATGAGCTCCACAGGGTTTAGAATCAGGTTTTTCTTCTCAGACTTATACTCCTCCTCCTAAGCCAGCTTGTGTTAGACTGGCTTTCAAGAACAATAGAGCAGTAATCATTGTTTTGCTTCAACAATTACTGGATATACTTTTAGGGTTTTACTAGGACATTGGCTCACGTCTTGAGAAAATTCATTTTAATCATCTTAAATAAGTAGTACTCTGTGCTATTTAAAAGCTATTGTTTTCATACATCGCTGTCAAAGTTGAAAAAGAATCTTTGGGTATGATCAAAGAGTTTTTATCCTTGCGTTTGTTGATCTCGTGAAACATATTTTTAAGCTTTATAATAGAAAGCATCCTTGAATACCAGTAATGAGCCTTCATTTGATCCTTGTGTTGTATTATTCTAACAATTTGCCAGATGCTATTTGCTATTTGTTTCATGTAACATCTATCATCAACATTCAAAGGTGATTGACCTAGATGTTTTCTCATTGCTGTAGTTTGTATTCTTTACTTTCTTCTCTAAATCAGCTTAAGTAGCACGGGAATTAATTGTGAACACCCAAATCGCAGAAGCCTATGGATGACAGTGGGAGCCCAAAGTCCAGCTTCAGGGATTAAGCCTCTGGTAGATCCCCTCTGACCACAGTCGACGGACACAAATAACCTTGCTATCAGACAGGGACTATTGTAAACTTGCTTAAGATGAATGGAATTACAGCCTAAGATGATACCTGGTCATTTGATCTCTCTCTTGAACCATTCTGGATTTGTTCTAGTTTTAAGTATTTCTTGCTTTTTTTTTTTTCTCAAAAAAGTTTCTCTGGTTCAATATTGCTGATGGTCTTTTCTTCCTTCCTTCCTTTCTTTTAAATATTTATTGATTTTGTTCTTTCATTTTGTTTTTTTTAATATTTCCCAGTTTATGAAGCACAGAAAGGGTAGATATATAGAGACAATAATTGATGTAATGGCTTATCAGGAATGGTGGGGGTAGGTTGAAGGGAATGGGGAGCAAATGATGAACACGGGAGGAGAGAGGATGCACTAGAACTGATATATGCATTGACGGTGATATATCACACTTCTGTTTAAATGCGACTGAATTACAGAAGTGTATGGTATGTGAATTATATCTCAATAAAAATAAATACATAAGATAAATAGGATTGGAATTCATTATTTCTCCAGGGTCTGAAAAAATTCCTGCACAAAACCATCTGATCCCAGTGCTTTACTTAGGCCGAGAGCACTCAGTACATAGGTTTAATGTACTGTGTTTTCACTGTGGATTGTCTCCTTTATCATTAGATAGGGGTCCTCACAGTCACCTTGGTAATAAGGGGACGAAAATAGTTTAGAGGAAGCAGAGAAGGGAGGCAATTATTGTAATGACTTAGACATAGCAAAGAGGGTTGAGGTGTTTTCTATGAGGATGGCTAATAGGATATAGAACGAATATAAAAATGTTACAAAGATGGATTTCATCTTTCACTTCTTTAAGCAATCCAAGAAGTCACTGTCTCTTCCTACAATTAGCTCTTCATTTATAGGCTTCCTTCTGTTTCTCAAATTGTCCCGTTTATACCTCAGATTATTGACTCATCTGTTAGCCTCTGGGAGGACAAACGTCTGGAACGTCTCATATCTGTTAAAGGACCAGTGTATTCCTAACAGCTCCCTAAATTCTGATTCATGTGTTCACTTACTACAATAGGATAGTTTTATAACTCTGATGACAAGAGATCAGGAGAACAGTGGTATGCTTTCCTTGTTAAGGTCCTGAGATTAGAGAGCAAACTACATAAAGAGTGAATGTAACCACAATACAAATGTAAGAGAAGCTGTTTCGGATCTTTCCTCAGTTCGACTTTTAATACCAGCCAGTCTCTTTACTCCTTCCCCTTACAGAGGGTATGATGCCATCCTCCACTCTTAGAAATGGCTGCAAAGGCCAAACTGTCTGTTGTTGTTGTTGTTGGATGCCATCAAATCAGTTCTCACCCACAGCAACCCTGTGCAAACAGAACGGAACACTGCCCGGTCCTGTGCCACCCTCACCATTGTTCCCACGAAGAAGCCCATTGTTGCAGCCTGGCGTCAACCCACCTCGTTCAAGGCTTGCCACTTTTTCCTTGGCCCTCTACTTTACTAAACATGACGTCCTTCTCCAGGGACTGGTCTCTCCTGACAACATGTCCAAGTACATAAAGTGAAGTCGCACCATCCCTGCTTCTAAGGAGCACTCTGGCCATACTTCCTCCGACACAGACCAGTCTGTCCTTTTGGCAGTCCAGGGTATTTTCAATATTCTTCTCCAGCACCACAGTTCAATTGCACCTATTCTTCTTGGGTCGTCCTGATTCGATGTCCAACGTTCACATGCATCTGAGGCAATGGAAAACACCATAGCGTGGGTCAGGTGCACCTTAGTCCTCAAAGTAGCATCTTTGTTCCTCAAGACTCATAAGGCGGTCTTGTGCAGTCTTCTGATATCTTAACTGCTGCTTCAATGAGCATTGATTGTGGAGCTAAGCAAGACAAAAGCCTCGACAACTTCAACATTTTCTCCATTTATCCTGATGTCCCCTACTGGTCCAGTTGTGAAGATTTTGATCTTCTTTACATTGATTTGTAATGTACACTGATGATTACAATCCTTGATCTTCATCACCAAGTGCTTCAAGTCCTCCTCACACTCAGCAAGCACAAGCAAGGTTGTGTCATGTGTATAGCACATGTGGTTAATAAGCCTTCCCACCAATCCTGATGGCACATTCTTCTTCTAAATAGTCATTAAGTTTTCTTAAAGGCCACGATTTAAGAAGAAAACTTCATTACTATTAAGAATGGTCACTAAAAAAATAAAATAGATAAAAAGAATGACCACTATTCCAAATCAAATGTCCAATGAGGCTTCAACATCTTACCTGTGATTTGGGTTATTCTGGTGCCACCTAAATAAAGCCTGCTTCTGACTGGCCGGGGAGGCTAAGCCCCCACAGACTGGGTTGGACGGACAACAGCAGGGACTCACCAGATTGTCCAGCATCCTCATGAGGGCCTCAAACTCGTGCTCCCCGAGCCGGCTCTTCTGCATGGGCCCGAAGGTACTCCCTGCCCACTGCACGGAGCCTACCTCATGGGGCCGGTGCTTCTCCTGCTCCAGGAGGATGAGGTTCTCCACTCCCCCAGCACTGGACAGAGCGGACACCTGTGGCAGAGAAAGCAAGCTCTCATGTTGTCCATGTATACATGCAGTGGGGGGAGCTGGAGAGGAGAACCCCAAACCCCAAACATCAGGGGAAAGACGCTGCTTTCTGCTCTTTGCTCCTGGAGGAAAAGCCTCCCCCCCAACCCCACCAGCTTGCTGGGCATGCGCCATTCCGACTGAAAGAGGGATTCGTAGTTCAAAATCTATTCTTTGCTGACAATAAAAAAGAGAAATAATGAGTGTTGAACCTTAAGAACAACACCGAAAGTCATCTGCAACACAGACCGCCTTGGAGTTGTGATTATTTCTGGGAAGAGAGCAAGGGTGAGCTCAGCAGGGGCTCCAGAGGGGACTCTGACTCGTCTACTTCTCCCAGCAGAAAGGTCGCTAGTGCTTGTTCAGTCAGCATAGTGGGGTCTGTGCGGTTCTGGTCTACGTTTCTGTGCTTGCGACCTTTAACACCCATATGTAGCTTGGCCACTTGCAAGAAACAGGCCCATCTGTAGGCCAGAGCATGAAGCGTAGCCTTGCAGGATGAAGGGACAGGCCCAGACCCGGAACATGAATGCGGGACACCCAGAGCAAGGAGACAGGTGACCACATGGACACTGCCCGGCCAGGGCCCGTGCAGAGGCGGCACTACTTCCACCAAGGGTAAGGCAGGTTTGCCCCACTGTTATGATTCCATGGGAGGTGAGGCTGCAGGTAGTGGCAGACAATGAACTTCAAGTCTTGGGGCAAGAGGTGTGTGCACACATAGGGTGGATTTGGAATGATAAACAGCCTCCATCCATCAGACCAATTCCCCTGTTCCCGTTCTCTAATTCCACGTGTCTAATGGAACGTGCTATGCACTCCAGCAAATCCTCCACCACTCAGCTAATTGGCCGTGGCTGGGCTTCCTGGAGCAGTCCCCCTACAGAGAGGGAGGGTGGTTTTTAAGTACTCCAGGTAGTGATCCGGGCTTGTGCACTGCATATTAGTCCATTAGCGTCCTGTTTAAAAATTGATTTCGTATGTAAGCCTGCTTATTAACTGGGAACTGCTCTGATTGTGTCAATGCTCAATGTTCCAGTTATTTTATTTATTTATTTATTTGCTGAAAACTAAAGGACCCAATTTAGCTTCGTGAATTCAAGGGGCTCACGGGGGTGAGGGAGGGCCCCCAATGTGTTCATTCATTGGGGTAACAATGGCTCCTGTGAAGCTCCCTGGGCAACCTTCCCACGGGTCCCCATCACTCAGTGATGAGAACATTCGCTCCCCACACCCTCTTCATCTAAGACCCACGTCCCTTTCAGCCTCTCGTTTATCACCTCGTCCACACCCTGCACCAGTAACTCTGTGGCTCAAGGTCTGGATTGAAAGAGGTCTTGTTATTCTTCTGTGCTGGCGAATCCACTCCAGATCACCTGGTCTTCTCTCTGCAGAGTGGCTGGTGGGTTCAAATGCTCAGACTTCCAGTTAGCAGCCAAGCACTTAAGCATTCCACCAAATCCCCTGCTATCAAGTTCATCTCAATTCACAGTGACCCTCTATAGAGTTTCCAAGGTTGTGGATCTGTATGGGAGCAGAGAGCCTCATCTTTCTCCTGTGGAGTGATGGGGGGATTGAACCATGGACCTTGCAGTTAGTAGTCCCACCCTTACCCCACCAAGCCGTCAGAGCTCTTTATTGAGTGCCATAAATAGCCTTAGAAGCTATTTCTTTCATCCTCCCAGGCAAAGTAAGAATTGCCGGTGAATAACCCAGAAGGTAGTCACAACTCCATTCTCGGCGAGGCAGCCTCTCCATTGTGGCCTGAACATCAGAAGTTATTTGAGTTGAAAGCTGCCTTTTCATTGCCTTCACTCACGGGCCCTGGCTTTGTCCTCTGCCGTCAGATTTGCCTAATTCTGGAACCCCTCACCCTCAACGCTGAGATTGGGGGTGTGCATGGAAACCTAGCCTCAAGGCAGTGAGTCTCGACTGGCTGGCCAACAGCCTGTGCGGGGCTTCACTCTCCGACCATACTCTCCCTCGTCTTGAGTCACCAGCTCCCTGAAGGGAGCACCTGGCTTATCAGCAGAGCTTCCCCCAGACTTCCCTGGAGAGATGGCACAGGGTGGTGTTTCAGGGCACCAGCTCTGGAGCCAGCCTGCCTGGGCTTGAATCCTACTTCTGCCTCTGACTGCCTGTGGGGCTTGGGGAAGTGGTTTATTTCATGAAGCTTATGTAGGGTGATGTTTGTAAAGCACTTTGGGTGAGCCCTGATGTGCAGGCAGTACCATCCATGTAAGTGTGTGAGACACACACGCTGAAGGTTTCCATGAAAGGTGGAAATGCAGTGCCCCTGGGGGACCAGTCACTAATGGAAAGGGAACTTCTCACATCCTTGCCAGAGCTGCCTCCTCCCACCTCCTGCTTCCTCCATCAGTTCCCATGGTGATGGGTAGCAGACGGAGAAGACATGCCCAAGCACCGTCCCCTCTGCCCACAAGCAGAGCAAGGAGTTGCCACTTTCAGCTGGCAATGACCTAGTTTCCGAGAACCCCAAACAGATGAGGAGCAAAGGGAACCAGGCCTTCGGGAGCACAAAAAGAACCACAGCCACATTTGCTTGTTTGCCAACTGAGGGAGTGACAGAGCTGCAGGGTTGGCCACTGCCTGCCAAATGGCCCTAGAAGGGGCTGTAATCCGGACAGTGCTTCCAGACTCCAAGTACCGGTTCTTCCTGCCTTCATCCACCCACATCTTGGACCCACTCTCCCATGTCTACTGGCTCTGTTCCTCTTTCTGGAACTCTCCCCACCCCACCAGCTGAGGAAAAGCCTGCTGGAGCTTGTTGGAGGTTATCTGCCCTCGTTCCCTGATGCACATGAACAAGGTCACCTAGAACCAGGCCTGGGAAGGAAGTGGCAGGGGGCAGGGCCAAGAGAAGCATGCCTGAGGGCTGGCCGGGACAGCGGCTGGCAGTTTTGCCCTTGGATCACCTCTTAGTAGTTAGATGGCTGTCTGCCTTCAGTTAAATTGCACCGTGGCCACAGCCGGGAGCCTGAAGCCTGGCAGAGTCATACTTCAATGCAGATGGATCATTCTGGGCAGCCTTCCCATGCAACGTTTAAGTCTAGGCTGCATTGACAATGGGACTGTTTTTCATGAGCACAGTGTCTCCTGCTAGCCTCTTCTGGAGAAGGCGAACGGGGGGACTGTGAAGATTTTAAATATGGGGGTGGGTCCATCTGAGGTGCTGTCTGAAATGTGGCATGCAGTAATTGGGGCTCAGGCTGCATCCTTGACTGGGGGTATGAGAAGCATCACAGAGGCATCCTGTGTCCACCTTCTCCACATTTCCTGTTCTCATTCCTGTTACTTCCAGGGAAAATGTCACAGCCCTTCCACTGATACCTCTTCATCACTGTCCCAGCGCCTGCCCTCTCCACAGCCTCCCCTAAGGACTACTGAGAAGGCACCTGGTGTGGCCCAGCCACTAGTGATGCTTCTCCGGCCCCAATCCCCTTCTTCCAGGTGACTCTCCAAAAAAGGAAGGAGCAGGTGTTCCTCCTGGAGGCACTGCTCTGCCCAGGGTGGCCAGCAGAGGGCAGGCGGGAGCCGGAGCAGCCCCCTGCAGAGCTGACACCTCCTCAGGAACAGCCCTACCGGCACCCTGTCAACTGAGTCCTAAAAATACTGGCAGCACCATCCCTCCATGTCTGAAAAGCCTGCCCTCACACCAACCCTCCAGCTCCCACCCAGACAGCTGAGGAATCAAGGCTCTGAGGAGGCAAGGCCTTTGTGCAAAGCCTTGCAGCCCAGGGCCGGAAGTGATGGAGTCCACGTCAGCCTGATTCACAGGTCTTTCTTCAGCTGTGCAGACATTCACGCTCATGCTGATCCACCGCCACATTTCAGACAGCGTGAGCCTGTCCTGTCCGGCGACATATGTTACCTAGGCAGCTTCGGGATCTGCCCTCCTATTGCTCCTCCACCAGCTCCTTTGGGTAGTCCCAAGATCACTGAATCCCCACCCACCCAGTCCCTAAGCAATTCAGGGAAGTTCACCATAGGCTCCTGAATGTCCCTTTAGGACAGCCCCTGACTGCTCAGGCTGCCATGTCAACAAGCTACCTAGACCTGCTCTCTACTCCTCTTACAGACTTGATCAAGCACCTGGTCTCTGAATTCTCTTGACACCTCCCTCCCCCGCCCCAAACTAAACCCTAGTCACTCCTCTGAGAGTGATTAGCAAGCCTTACTGGAAATTCAAGTCAAGAGGTGAGCGGGGACATGTATGTATCACAGGAAGGTGATTACACTGCTATTTGGAGGTAAGCCAAGTGGGGCAACCTGCCCTTGGGGAAAATGCTTACCATTACTGATAAAGACAGCAAGAACACGCCCAGGACCATGTTCCTAATTGGACACATTGGGCCTATTTTCTATCCAACCCTTGGTGATCCTGGCCAAGTGCTAAGGACAACTGGGACTTTAGGCTCTGTCCTTTTGAGGGGCGCAACATCCTTCACAGGCCACACCCTAAGGATTCAATGTGGAAACCCCACTACTAGAACTGGTCTTGACCATAAACTTACTCGCCTGTAGCAGACTTCAGGAATGAACACATTTCCCTTGGACTAATGGCTGAAACGTCTCATGTGAGAAGCACATACGACTGCTACCCCCAGGTGATGGAATTGGTGGCCATTGCTCTGAGGGAGCCCAGGGAATGATGGCCCAGGACCACTGGATATTTACTATTTTCATGCTCTCTGCTTTTTTATGACCTGCGTTAGCCTAGCAGGCAGGATTCTGCCTTTGTAAAAAAGCGTTATTGAAAGTTGTGCCCTATCCCTAACCCTCACTGTTCCTGTAAATAGGATCCAGTCACTTAAGCCATGAATCTGAACAAGTCAATAATTCATGTGCTGCAGTCTAAAAAGCTGGCCTGCACATGTACAGCAACACTATTTCATAGCAACCCTATGGGACAGGGTAGAACTTCCCCTGTGGGTTTCTGAGACGGTAACTCTTTGCGAGAGCGTAGAAAGCCTCCTGAGTCAGCATCGACTTTCTGGCGGTACCTTTGCTTTGGGGTTTATGCATGTGTAATTTCCCTTGCTCAGCAAAGTTTGACATGCTGTACCACTGGCTGACTCGATGATACTATCAATTGAATGAGGAGCCCTGCTGGTGCACTGGGTGGCGTGTTAGGCCGACCTAAAGGTCAGCAGTCGGCATCTACAAGCATGTGGGGCTCTTCTTTCTTCTAGGGTCGCTGTGCGTCAGAATGGACCTGAGAGTAATGAGGTTGCTTCTTTTATTTATCAATAGCATTACTTTAAACCGCACAGGGAAGATTTATAATGTTCCCCTATAAGATAATAACATCTCTAAAGTGAACCAGAGACATATATAAATCATCGATATAGGAACAGATTTGGGACTCACATTTAATCAGAACCCTAATCTACAATTAGTTCTTGGTCCTACTAGATAGGTGCCCTGATGTAGAAGTCATTGGAAATATGGGTGGTACAGCAACATGTGGTGAAGACACTAGATGGTGTCCAGCTATCAGAAAGAATCGTGTCTGGGGTCCTAAAGACTTGTCTCCCAGCCAGCAGCCATCTAAGTGGGGCATCAGCTAAGTCCACACCGAAGAAACATACCAGCCTGTGTGAGCCAAGGTTTGTAAATAACAAATCCAAATCAGGAGGAGGGAAAAGTATCAGAGCTTAAATTCTGAACTCCAGGTTTGCAGATGCTATGGATGACGATGGAAGCCCCAAATCCATTTGCAGGGTCCCCTCCTGGATGACGCCTCAAGTGAAAATTCTCTGTCCTCTCTGACCATACACCAGGCATGTGATAGCCTTGCTGTCAGACACAGTGCACTATAAAACCAATGACGGTAGATGTAGTGAGGTCAAAATGTTACAGCTTATCATTTGATCTCCCCTTTGTCCCATTCTCAATTTGTTCGAGTTTTTAATATTTCCTGCTCTTTTTTCCATTGAGGTGCTCCTCTGTTTTATTTTGACATTATTGTTGGGTTGTTTTGTTTCTTGTTTTAATTTTGCATGGTTTTCTGTATATGAAAACCAGGATACATCAATCTATACAGACAACAAGGAATTAATAATTACCAAGGCGGCCATCCAGCTCAGAAGTAACAAAGCCCACATGGAAGAAGCACACCAGCCTGTGTGATCACGAGGTGTTGATGGGATGAGTTATCAGGCATCAAATAACAAAAAAATCAAATCATTGTGAATGAGGGGGAGTGTGGAGTGGGGACCCAAGACCCATCCGTAGGCCAACTGGACATCCCCTTACAGAAGGGTCGTGGGGAGGAGACGAGCCAGTCAGGGTGCAGTGTAGCACTGATGAAACATACAATTTTCCTCTAGTTCCTAAATGCTTCCTCCCCACTCCCACCCCCACTACCATGATCCCAATTCTACCTTACAAGTCTGGCTAGACCAGAGGATGCACACTGGTACAGATAGGAACTGGAAACACAGGGAATCCAGGAGGGATGATCCTTTCAGGACCATGCTGAGAGTGGCAATACCAGGAGGGTAGAGGATGGTTGGGTAGAAAGGGGGAACAGATAACAAAAATCTACATATAACTCCCTCCCTGGGGGATGGACAACAAAAAAGTGGGTGAACGGAGATGTCGGACAGTGTAAGATATGACAAAATAATAATAATTTATAAATTATCAAGGGTTCATGAGGGAGGGGGAAGAATGAGGAGCTGATACCAAGGGCTCAAATAGAAGGCAAATGTTTTGAGAATGATGATGGCAACAAATGTACAAAAGTGTTTGACACAATGGATGGATGGATGGACTGTCGTAAGAGTTGTATGAGCCCCCAATAAAATGATTTTTTAAAAATAAAATAAATAATTTATAAGTTTCACAGAATACAGAATTCTTTGAGAACATCCCCAAACAGATAAGAATCACAAAATACTAATATTACCAGGGTGGAGGGTCACTAAGTTAGCAAGGTTTAAAAGATAAGCCTCTCTCGTGTGTTTATTAAGGGTCCTCCCGTCTTGAAATGCTTCTAACGAACATCATAAGATGAAGCATTGAAGGAATAAAGATAACTTCCCTAAAAAATAAAATAGAATAATTACCCAGGGACACAGCAGGAGAGATTGGGGGGAAATGGGGAGCTGACTATAAAAAAGAAAAGGATTGTTATAAGAGCTGTAAGAGCCCCCAATAAAATGATCTTTTAAAAAAAGAGGAAAATGTTCGCAAATTGATTGTGGTGATGATCATACAACTCTTCTTACAGTGAATGAGTGACCGAACTGTATGATGTAAGAATTACATGGTGATAAAGCTATTTGGAAAACAAATAAATAAATGTTCTTTAAAAAAAAGATGACCTGTCTAATATTTATTGATTATACTAGGTATAGGAAGTATAGCCCCAGATAACATATGAGCATGGTGAGTTTTTTGTGCACTGTCACAGCTTCCCCACTGGTGGGTCCAGGCAGGCCCCCCACTTCAGGCACTGCCCCCCCCTGCAGGGTTGGGTGTCGGTTATTAGACAATGGTGGTCATTTTTTTTCTTTTTAAAATCATTATATTTGGGGGGAGAGGGTCGTACAGCTCTTATCACAATCCATCCATCCATCCATTGTGTCAAGCACCTTTGTACATACGTTTGCCATCATCATTCTCAAAACATTTCCTTTCTACTTGAGCCCTTGCTATCAGGTCATTTTGTTTTAAAGGCACAGAGCTGACAGTGTGAAGCTCTAGAAGGGGAAGACGATACTCGAGCAGAGAATTAGGGCAAGTGCTGTTAGAAGGTAAAGTTCAAAGGGCTCCCTGACTCACAGGCACTGGGCCCACCGCCTTAGCCTGCAGGCCTATGCCAGAGCCATCTCCTGGGCCCACTTTCCAGAGGACCTCACTCACCTGTGTCTCACACGCAGCCTGCAGGTGGAAGACCTTATAAAACGCCTCCTCTACGGTGTCACCAAGAGCAACCACTCCATGGTTTCTTAGCACCAGGATCTGTAAAGGAACACAAAGCCCTGTTAAGCCTCAAGCAGTCCGCACTTTCACTATGAGCAAGATTTTTATTGTACTCTAATCAGCTTCCATCCGACCCCTCGCAAAGCCCCCAACACCTTACTCATTCGTCTTAAACAAGCACGCCAATGCTACCCACAGCTGTGCTGTGAGCCCAAAGCATCCACCTACGCAAACTGAAGACGCCATAGGTGGAAGAGACTGGTGGCTTTCCTGGAGGACTGTCTAGATCTTTGGACCTGGGAGGACTTTCTACACGGCAGTCGCTATCAGCTCATGCTGGCCCCTGTGCATCTTGGTCAAACTTGCTCAGTGGGGTTGTTGTCGACAGTTGGTTTTTCTGAAGTAGAGCAGCAAGCCTTTCTTTCAGAGGAGCTTCTCTATGACCTCGAGCCTCCAACCTTTGGGTTAGCAGTCAAGCACATTAACCGTTTGCAACCTTCAGGGATCCCCTGGGAAGCTTGGATGTCAGCAAGGCTGCTGTTAAGGTTGACATGAATGAAACCCTTTGATGTCCAATACAAGGGTCCAGACTCAAAAGCAGGTTCATGCCCCTTGTGGCTTAGTCTCCTCGGGGGTTCAAAAACCAAGGGGGTGGTTCTCCAAGTGGTGGCTTTGTAGAAACAAGTGAGGGATCCAAGAGTCTAAGGAGTCCCCTGACCACTCTGGGCCTCAGATCTCTGCTCAGTACAAGACGTGAGGCACCCTGGCATCCCAAAGACAGGAGACAGGAGTTATGGCCCTGAACCCACCCCCATGTTTGGATAACCAGCCATTTAGGTTCGAAAGGGCAGCACTTACCTATGGACAGAGGGGCAAGAAAGGAGGAGGGCAAGGAACAGAAAACAAAGGTAGGAAACAGGACAAGGGATGATCCATTAGAGACTACAGTGGCGGAGGTGAAACAAGGTATACGTGGATTGTTGGAGGTAAAACTAATCACCTGCCCTGTGCACCTTCACCTCGCTCACAATAAGAGTGTTTCCACAAAAAGGCCTTCTGATATCACTTGCCCTCCTAACTCACTGATCTTGCAGCCGAGGAAATCAAAGCCCAAAGAAGCAGACGCTCTCTCAGCCATGTTGAGACAGAGTCTCAACTACAACCTGGATGTCCCCATTATTCATGCCACATTTCTGCTCATCAGGGACATGGGGATAAGAGAAGGGGAAGAACTTCTACCAAGAGCAGGAGTCCCCAAGGCCCAGGGGCACCTCTCTGCCAGACACTCTTGCGGTTGGTTTTATCCCAGGAACTCTCTGAGACCAGATGATCGTCAGATCCACAGGTCTGGTCTGTCCCTGCAGGAGGCTGGGTGGGGCATGGTGGCTCTGAATATCACATCCTTTCTTGCTAATAAAAAGAGCTGGGTCCCCCCCTCCCCCCAGTCTTGTACCAGAGAACACAAAGAGAGGCTGTCTCTGGCCCACAAGCGGGTACTCATGACAAATGCTCCATCTCTCAATCCCTAAAGCGCTTCATCAGTGTGACTATCCCCTCCCTCTCTCTCTCCCAACCATATTCCAGAGGATGTCACAGGGAGCACAGCAGGCATCTCTCGCCCCTTGTTAGAAGTGGGGACCTGGGGACACTCAGAAGGGATGTGACACAGGCAGGGAGTCTCTTGTAAGGACAAGAGCAAGAGTCCATCTGAGGCTGCACCTAAATGCTACCCATACTAAGCTGACCTTTTCCACCCTCTACTTTATAAAGTAGGTGTTTACACTTAAGCTAAGCAATAATGAGGCTTCATTTTTCTCTATCAAGTTGGGAGGTGGGGGTGATGATGACACTCAAGTTTGGGGAGATGGAAGGCAGAAGCATTCTCGGGGAGGTGGGGGTGCGGAGAGTGAACATTGTGGGTAGTAATGGAAGCAGCACAGCAGCTTGTGTGAGCCAAGGATTGTAAATAATAAAACCCAAAGTTGAAGGAGGGAACCATAGCTGAGTTTAAATTGTCACCACCTCATTTGCAGAAGGCTATGGGTGCCAGTGGAAGCCCCAAATCCATTTCCAGGGTCCCCACATGGATTAAGCCTCTGGTGAACCCTCTCTGAACAATAGAGCAGGGATGTGGTCAGACAGAGAGCATTCTAAAGTTGATGATGGCAGATGGAGTTAGGTTTTAAAAGGTAGTGCCCTATCATTTGATCTCCCCTTTGAAGCTGTGTGTGTTTTTGATATTTTCTGCTGTCACTTTGATTTTTTCTGTTTTGTGTCGTCATTGTTGCTGGTGTTTGTCTGTTTGCTTTGTATGCATGTCTGTGAATGTGTTTGTTTTGCATGGTTTCCTGTACATGGAATCAGGATATGTAACTCTTTAGAGACAGTGACTGGACAGGGACAGGGTAGGGGAGGATGGGGGGAATGGGGAGCTGACAACAATGAGCACGAGAAGAAAATGTTCTGGAATTGATTGTGGTGATGATTGCACAAATCTTCTTCATTTAATTAAATGATTGAATTGTATGATATGTGATGGAGATGCTGATAAAGTTATTTTTTAAAATGAATGAAGAAATTTAAAATCTCGGGGGGGGGGGGAATGAGGAGCCAATATTAAGGGCTCAAGTAGAAGGCAAATGTTTTGAGAATGATGATGGCAACAAATGTACATATGTTCTTGATACAACGGATGTATGTATGGATCGTGATAAGAATTGTACGAGCCCCCAATAAAATGATTTTTTTAAAAAGAAATTTAAAATCTCTCTCTCTAAGAATTTAGTTAGGAGCCCTGATGGTGCAGTGGATTACTCATTGGGCTAACTGCAAGGTCCGAAGTTCAAACCCAACAGCCACTGTGTGGGAGAAGAACGATGGGCTCTTTGCTCTCATAAAGACTGACAGCCTCAGGAACCCACAGGGCCATTGGATCCTGTCTGACAGGGTCACTGTGAGTCGGAATCCACTTGCCAGCAGTGAGGGGAATCCAGCCTGAGGAAATCATCTCAACACCCAAAGATCTGGCTGAAAAGATGTTCATCAATGTGTCATTTCTATTAAGATTGGACTTGAAAACCACCTTCTGATGATCAACCGTGGTGGTCATTGTCATTCACACAGTGAGGTCATTGAGCACGAAATGGAACGACAGAAAGAGACTGAAGCGCACACAAACGGAGTGCATGTTAGGCTCCTCTGCAAGGTCCCCGCTGAAACCACCAGAGAGACCAGACTTTGGACCTCCGTCAGGAGTGACAGGGTTGGAAGTGCCCGCAGGGCCAGTTCTCCCTGACCTCCTGGACTGCTATGAGTCGACGACTCGGTGGCAGTGAGTTTGGTTTGGGTTTTGCTGAGGGAAAACAGGAGAAGACATTTTAGGGTCCGAGTTTGGGAAACACGTGTGACTATCATGAGGGCGTGCACTGAAATCTCGGTGTAGTGTGATTTCCATGTGCTTCTCTGGGTCTATCTGCCGCTTCCACACGTGCTCCAATGAGCACCCGGGCCACTGCTGTGCCCTCAGGGTCAGCAACTGCCCCCACAGCCCTTTCCCAGAAAAGGGGCCCGACCTTGCAGGTGGGTCCAAGGCACTTCTGCAGGTTGATTCGATCCACTTCCTGCTCCATTTCCCCATTGAAGTCATAATAGGCCATGTCCCCTACCAGCAGGGCATTGTGGGACACAGGCAGGAGGCCCCACTTCATGGCTGATACCTGGAGAGAAAACAGGAGTGTTAGCACTTGCAAATCTGACCCTCAGCACTTTCTAGCCTACCCCCACCTGCATGCAGCGCCCCTCAGGGTAGCACCCCAGTTTCTCCTATAGAGCAGCTGCCCAGTGCCAGATGGTAGGGCAGACAAAGGGGCTGAGCAGCCCCTGGACTCCTTCTCACCCAGCGTGGGGTCTTGCTCTCACACACTTCCTCTAATGTCTTCCCACCCATTTGATCAGGCTCTCTGACAAGAGGTCCCCTTTTAAAGGTACTGAAAAGAATACACTCAAGAGACTTACTGCTGTGCCTGCCCCTGACCTAGTCTTAGCACTCTGGGAAGAAGCAAGGTGCTGGAATTTGCACCAGGCTGGTGGGAAGCAGGGTCCAGGGTGTCCTGGGGAGGGTTCCTGGAGACCCCCGGCCTACGAGTCAGTGCAGAAACAGCCACATCTCCTCATGAGCAGGTAAGTCCACCCAGAAGCCCCGGTTTACAGATAGCGGGTAACCCAGATGCCAGAACACTGGTAATAGCACAGGCGGAAAGCCCACCACAGCCTGAATGCAGAGCCAGGAGCAAGGCGAGGTGCAGAGGCTCCGTCTGCCTTTTCTGAGCGGCCTGGGTCGGCCCCAAACTCTGCGGGGCATCTCTGGGTCTTGGTCCAAATTCTAGAGATCTAGGAGTCCTGATGGTGCCGCAGGTTAAGTGCTGGGCTGCTAACCCTAAGATCCTTGGTTCAAGCTCACCAGCCCCTCACAGGAGAAAGATGAGGCTGTTGGCTCCCATAAAGATTTTCAGTCTCAGAAACCGTGGGGAGCAGTTCTACTCTGTCCTCTCGGGCCTTTCAGGGTCGGAATTGACTCAATGTAAGTAGGTGTGGTGGTGGGTTTGTTTTAGTTTCTCATGACCAGTATGTGTTGCTAAAGGAAACTGCAGTCTGGGGTGTGGCCTGGGGCTCGAGAGGGCGGGGCTAAGGTTGGGGCAACGCCCAGTACTGGTTGTCTGTTGTCCTGCCAGGTGGCAGTGTTAGGTGCACGTGGAGAAGTACATTACTACACCAAGGGCCACCTGCTTCTTGAGCTCTTCTGGTCCCCAGCTCTGGGCCCTCCTGAGCCATACAAGTGAGCCCCCTCTTCTGTTGAAACCTTTCCTTTCAGAAGTCCGAGCGGAATAAGGGGTCACAGGCCAGCAGGATTGGCCTGAATAGAAACTCAGATGTCAACCGCTCAG